GCAGTGGCATCCTCATAACTCACTGTAGCCTCCAGCTGCTGGGCTTAAGTGATCTTCTTGCCTCAGCCTCCCGAGTACCTGGGACTATAGGCACATGCCATGACAACTGGCTAATTTTTTAAAAATTAAATCATAGCTGTGTACAAGAATGCATTTATGGGGTACAATGTGCTGGTTTTATATACAGTGTGAAATAATTACAACAAACTGGTTAACATAGCCTTCACTGCACTTTCTTAGTTATTGTGTTAAGACTTTTATACTCTACACTTAGTAGACATGTACCCTTGTAAAATGCACCATTGGTGTGGTCCGACCAATTACCCTCCCTTCACCTATCCTCTCCCCTCTTCTTGCCTCCCTCTCCTCCTTCACTTCACATACTTACCATCTCTTTGTGGTAAAAATGTTTAAAATTTGCTCTGTTAGCAAGTTGGAAGTATACAATTCATCATTATTCATTATAATCACCATGCTGTTCAACAGATCTCCAAAATGTATTCATTGTGCTAATTGAAATGGTCTTTTGACCAGTTATCTCCCCCAAATCCTAGCCCCAGCTCCTGGTGACCACCAGCCTTCTGTGAGTTAGACTTTCTCCGATTCCGCATAGTGAGATCGTGTGGTATTTGTCTTTCTGTGCCTGGCTTCTTCTACTTCTGAAGGTAAATTCCTCTGTAGCTCTTTTTCTCCCCACTTAGCTTTGAAAAGCTGTGAAAGCAAGGATGGCATTTGTGTTATGTGCCTGCCCCAGAACCTGACATGGGATGCCAGGTGTAAGGTCTGTAAGATTATCTATTTATGCACAAAGTAAAGCATGTTTTGGCCACTGGGCTCAGTTCTCAGCCTCACATCTATAGCCCAGTCCAAGGTCAGCAATTAATGTCTAGGAAGCAGATAATTACAGTAGAGTCTCTGGGACAGTGGGAATTTATAGGAGACATGTGGGAACCGCTGGGAGATTGCAACACCATTCATGAAATCAGCAGGGTGGCTGTTACTGGGTCTCTGGAAATAGCCACCCCTCGGATGGAACGGTCAACAGGAGAGAACTCCCACTGGGAGCTAACAGGAGCAGAAGCTATGGTAGAGAAACACAGTCGCTGACAAACCAGAGCCTGGAAGGATGGATGTGTGGAATTAAACCCCTTGGCTTCTCTCTCCTCTCATCCTCTGATCTCCTGGCTTTATTTCCCATGCTGAACTCAACTGGACTCAACAGGTAAGAAGACATTGACAATGCCATCCAGAGAGTGAGCCTCCAGAGGAGACAGGGAAAGGGCAAAAAATACATTTGGACTGTCCTGAGGGGAGCACCCAGCACTATCAAATGTGGACGAGAATTATCAGAGGGGAAATCAAGACTAGACATGTTAGCAAGCGAGGAAGATGGTGCAAATCACATGGCATACGGAGAAGAAACCAGGAGCAGCCAGGGGCCGTGGAAACGGAGAGGAAGGGGCAGTGTGAGCATTGCTGAGAAAGCAGACCACATAGCAGGAGCTGGGGTAGCCTGACTGTGAGGTGAGAAAAAAGGAGAGAGGAAAGTGATGATGGCTCTTGATGGCTCTTAAAACTCTGGCTTGGCTAGCTTAGTGGAATTTTCTTTGTCCATTACCTTCTCTTTGTGAGTTTTCAGCACTCTCTCCCCCCACTTTCTTTTAAATTATGATAAGAAATACCTCAAAAATTCAGTACCTTAACTATTTCAAGTAAACAGTGCAATAATGAGAAGTGCATTCATGTTGTTGTGCAACCATCACCAATATCCAACTACAAGACTTTTCATTTTCTCCAGCTGAAAAATCTATATTCAGGATACATAAATTTCCCATTTCTCTTCCAGGGCAAAGTTCCATTTGCGGAAGAGCCCCTCAACCAGGGGGCGTGTTACATACCCTCACAGTGTACATGTTAGGTGAGATCCTGCCTTATGCCCTCCCTCCCTCTGCCATACTTCCCATCTTGGGTACCATCTTGAAGAAGTCAATTAGATGTGGAAAATGGAAGAGGGTTGTGATATTCTTGATGTCTTGAATTATGTCTTTGAAGCCTTTAATGACTTTCACAAGACCAATTGCCACTGTCCCATTTTTAATCCCCATTCCTTTTTTCCCCAAAAGTGGAAAAAAACATTATTTCTACCCAGAATAGTTTCTTCCTTTTTGTATCATGCACTCACTCTAAAAAAAATCAGAATTTGTTATGCTTAAACAAGAATAAGGAAATGTGTAGCATAATTAAAATATTTTCATGTTGGGAAAAAATATTAAGGGTGTACAAATATTTTATCTTACATGGGTCACTTTTGCAATGCTTGAGTCCTGGCTATAGGTGTGGCCATCATCCCAACACTGTTTACCATTAAGTAAGTTTTTGCTCATCCCCTCTTCTCCTCTCCCACTTGCATGATTTTATTATCTCAGTGCACACGGTGTTCATCGGTTGGTTCTAATTTCATAGTGAGTACAAGTGGTATTTGTTTTTCCATTCTTGAAATACTTCATTCAGGAGAATGGTCTCTAGCTCCATCCAGATTTTTGAAAAAGGTAGTAATTCATCTTTTTTAATGGTTCAGTAGTACCATGGCACACATATACCACATTTTATTAATTCACTCATGAATCGATGGGTATTATTAATTCACTCATGAATCGATGGGTACTTGGGCTGATTCCAAACCTTTGCAATTGTGAATTGTGCTGCAATGAATATTTAAGTGCAGATGTATTTTTGATAAAAAGTCTTTCTTTCCTTTGGGTAAATACCCAATAGTAGGATTGCTGGATCAAATGGCAGGACGACTTTTAGTTCTTTGAGGAATTGACAACCTGCAGAATGGGTGAAAATATCCACAAGCTACACATCTGAAGAAGGGCTAATATCCAGAATTTATGAAGAACACAAGCAAATTAGCCAGAAAAAACAACCCTCTTAAAGATGTCAGCAAAAGACATGAACAGAAGCTTCTCAAAAGAAGAAAGACAGACTTAGTGTCTGTAGCTCAGCAGCT